GGAGACACTAAACCGATTGTTTGCCCACTATTAAACTGATCAACAATTGTATCAAATATCAATCTTATTTAAACTGATCAATACAAGTGGAATTAGGAAGGACGAGGAGCCAGAGAGAAGCATGTATATGTTCACCGGGAAGCTTATCAATAACTACCTTCTTCTCTGCCCCTTTGCCATTTCGGCTCCCTTTTGGGCCACTAAGTAGGGTTAGAGGGAGCACTTCTACTATGCTATATAGTATTGGTGTTTTAATGTACAACTTAAAGTTGTACTATAACATGAAATTTATAAGTTTAGGTTGTACCATAAAACAATTTGTACCATAAAAAAATTTGTACAAAAAGTATAGGTACAATATGAAGTTATACCATAACATAAATGTACAATTTTAGGTTGTACCATAAAAGCAAAACCCTATAGCACTAATACTATATATCATTTTAAAATTTCTCGGGTTAGAGGAGCATCCTTAATCTACCGGTAATTGCGCTTAAAGGATGGAGTTTGTTGGAGTGACGTGCCGACAAACAATCAACAGAGCCAACACCTCCACTTAACTTTCCATAATTAGCCCGTGCCCGCTGGGAATTTGCCGCCAAAAATACCAGCCAGAGACCTTAGCTTCCCCCTCTCCTGTTCCGCCACGTGTCATGTCCCATCGTACGGACGGAACGCTCCCTCCCCTTCCGACCAAAACCAAACTGCCCCCATAATTGTCTTCTTTACTAAATCCCACCCACTTGTTGGTAGACTATCCTTCCAACCGATTTTGTTGATTCTATTATATCTATATTACTAGCCGGCCCCGGTCATTGGCCGGAGGAAGATGAGGTATGAAATTTGATAACGTAATGGGGTGTATAGCTTATTGTTGTATATTTTTTTTTGAGGAAACACGTGATAAAAATAATGAATTTTAGTAGGAAAGAGACATGAATGATGCAACGAATCAAAAAACAACCTTATGCACCAAAATCCAGTACCTGTTACCTTGTAAAACAATATTGTTTCTGGTAATATGATGAGGTGGAGTAAGTTTTATAGAAACCGAATTCCAGAAAATCGAACAAAAAATCGCCTATCCCGCCGGTTTTTGGGAAATGAGCATCTCACAATCGTTGCTAGCTTTTACTCGGCCCGTTGGCCGATTAATTTGCTTTATAAAACTTTCTTCATGTCATCATTGTGCTTTCTAGTTTTTTGCCAAGCCATGATAAAATCTAAAGGAATCAAGAATGAACAACACGATTTGGGATAGGAACCACCGTACCTGTATCCCTAGAAAATGGTGTTAAACACGGACTCACCTGCCAAACTGATTTGGATTGAGATTTTTATCGGGTATCAGGGAACCATGTGATTATAAATTAGACTTGATCAGAACGGACCAAAACTTGAAATTCAGGTTAGCCCATTAGAATCCATGCATTAGTTTATTGTTAATTTTTTTTCTTTTTAGCAATAAAAAGGAGTATTGTTTTTGCCTTTTCCTATATACGGAGAAATAAAATGACTTAAAGAAAAAAATTGACACTCCTGGACCCGTTTAAATTCGCATGTGTACGGTAAGTTGGCCCGTTCCACAGAGGAAAAAGAAAAAAAATTGACACTCCCTATTTTATCCTTTCTACAAACGCTCATGGAGCAGGGAATTTGAAATGGGGGAAGGGTTTTTTTCTCTCTGCGATTATATGTTTTAATTTAAAAAGATACAACAAATGTACTTAGTGTGATTGGTTATGATCTTTGCTTTTCTTTAAAGTGGTCATGGTTCGAATCCTAGTAAGTGTCTTTTTAATGAATAAAAAAAAAGTAATTGTGAAGACCAAAACGTCCTTCCTACTTTCACTCTGGTTGCAGGAAATTTGAAATGGGGCTTCAAGTTTTCTCATTTGACTTTTATTTATTGTGTAGATATTTGCTATGATTTAATAAATGATTTATCATTATATTATGACTTCTATCTTAGATTATTAAACCCATCCATTTGAAACAGACGGGTCGAATTAGTACCTAGGTAGTAAGTTTGCTTGGTGTGATGGAGTGCATAGAGTGATTATTTTTTTCTCAATAGATAGAAGTGAAAGTCATGACAATTAACAACAACTAAATCAAAAAGTGAACACAACAACATGAATTGAGTAAGGACTCGACATGAGACATGATCAGAGCACACAATTAATAAATAAGTTTGTTGCAATCATTGCGTTTCAAGTTTATCAGTATAATATGAAAAATGAAAATTCAATGATAAACAATATGATATGGGCTCTTAAATATATTTTTTGTAGACGATTATTGATTTCAAAGTTCAAATGTAATGTTTTATGTTACATAATTAGTGATGAAAATTTGAACCCGTCTTGTGGTATTACCCGATCAGATCCGCGATGGGCAGGTATTACCCGATCCGCAGTAGCGTTAGGCGAGGCATGGGTATCTACTTCTGGCCAACCATGTCCCGCTTCACCTCGTTCTTAGCCCATTCTATCTCAAATTCTTACGGTATCTAAACATATTTCTTCAATTAGTTAGAGTCGAACTTTCAACTTGTTAAACTCATTTACCCATTACCAGCGCGGATTATACCGGCCATGATCCACAGTAGTGTGGGACGAGACATGTGTATTGTGGTAACCGCCCCACCTCTTGCCATCAGAATACATAATATTTCAACAAGGTAATTTTTTTGGTGGGTTAATTGCCTGGTTGGTCACTCAGATTACAAAAACGTTCATGTTTGGTCACTCGAAATATTTAATTCCATTTGTGGTCACTAAAATTAGTTAAAGAGTTCAAGTTTGGTCACTCTCCGTCCATCTCCGTTAACTTTTGCTTATGTGGCAGCCAAATCTTACAATTGACCGTTAAATGTGCCACGTGGCAATTTAAAAATTAATTAAAAATAATATTAAAATTTTTAAATTTCCAACTCATTATTCCAACTAATAAAAAAATAAAAATACCTAATTTCTTTTCTTCTAATTTCCATGTTCGGAAACAAATTTTCTTTTTTCTTTCTCTCTCCTTTCTTTAAACGCTCTGCCTTCTCTCTTCTTCTTCCACTTGCAGACGTGAGTAGGGATGGCAATGGGTCGGGTTGGGCCGGGTTTTGCCAAACCCAAACCCAAACCCGTGGGTTTATCTGTGAAAAAAACCCGGGGTAAAACCCATTGGGTTTGAAAAACTCAAACCCAACCCAACCCGCTGGGTATCCGCGGGTTCATGGGTACCCACGGGTTTTTGTCGTAAAAAATTTACTATAACAAGTTCCTGTCAAAATTAAAGTCAAATATCAATCTCTCAATACAAATTATTCATATATAAAACACCATTCTAGAAAATACAAGCAAATCACAAATTAACTATACAAATTGTTCAACACCAATCTAGAAATCTCAAGAAAATTGAACCAAATCACAAATTATCCATAAATAACATGATTAATTGAAAGCTTCTTCCTTTCATTTAAGTTTCTTCACTCTCCACTCAATAACATCAACTTCATTTTACACAATTAGAAAGAAAAAAATTAGACATGTCTCCACAAACATAAATAAGATTAGTTGTTTAGAATATTAAATATACCGAGAAAATTATTATATGGGTATGGGCGGGTACCCATTGGTCGGGTTTACCTAAACCCAAACCCAACCCAACCCGGTGAATAGTGAACGGGTTTAAACCCAAACCCGACCCAAAACCCGTCAACACGGATTTTACCCGCGTTGACCGGGTTGGGTCGGGTGGGTACCCGTGGGTTCGGGTTTTGTTGCCATCCCTAGACGTGAGAGGGGCTGCTGCCGACGTCTTTCCGACGATCGGCGGCAGCCCTACGCTCCTTTGGTCTTTCGATCTTCTTCTTCTTTGCACGGTGTACCTTTTTCTCCTTCTGATTTCAGCTTTGTCTCGCCATTTCAAGGCTCTGTTTCTCCCTTTGCTGGGTGTTCCCTTCTCCCCCGTCGGTGGGTTGATTTTTTGTTCCTCCGATCTAGTTCTAAGATCTGGAGATGGTGGACTGTTCTAAGATGCGATTGGAGGTCGAATCTGGTCGGATCTGGCTTGTCTTCTCCTTTCCTCTCCCTAGTCTACCTCCTTGTCTTTCCTTGCAGATCTTGGTGAGTCGGAGATGCAGCCTTTGTCGTCGGACGCGGAGTGGAGAGCTTGAAGACTGTAGTACCATTCCCTTTGGTTCTTTCGTCGGTGACCGTCGGATGATGTTGTCCTGGAGGTCTCTCGGCGGGAGGCAGAAGTCGGCTGGCTCGGGGAGGGTTGATGGGAGGTTCTCTTCCTCTTCCCCTCTTTTCGGGTTCGGTGGAGTTTCCCCTATGCTTGGTGTTTGACGATGGTGGCGGCGGCGGTTGGGCGACCAAGCAGCAGTGGAGAGCTCGGCGGCGGCGGCTAGGGTTTCAGAGGGGGGTGGATGGGTGGCTAGGGTTTGGTATACTCTGGTTGTGACCTGGGTTCCAGCCCATTTGTGTTTGGGCTTGTTTTTTTATTCTCTGTATCAAGTCTGGTCACCTTCTCTACTTGTACTTTCCATTTTGGCTTGGCCCGATCGCATTCTTAATGAAACTCTCTTTCAAAAAAAAAAAATAATAATAATAATTTCCATGTTCGGATGAACCTCAACCGTCCCTTCTCCTTCTTCCTTCCGCCACCGCCGCCAGCAGCACCACCATTATCTCCGCCGCAGCCACCTCCACCACCACTGCCGGCAGCTCTCCCTCTTAGATCGGATCCCTTCAAATCAACCCATGAGAAATTGAAAGCCCCAACTTCACAAATCTCTCTTTCCCTCTCTCAAATGCATTAAATTAATCAAAAGTGAAAAGTTCCCTCCTTGCACCTCTTCGCCATTAATTAAACATTTCATTGTCATCCCCGCCATAAATTTTCAACTGGGTTCCAAGAAGAAGGAGGAAAGGTTCCAGCTTTGAGCTGAATTTCGGTTTTTGGTTTTTTTCCCCCTCTGGATTTGTTGGAGAAAGATAAATGGGGAATGTGACGTCGAACGTGGCGGAGAAATTCGCCATCTTCCAGCCACCCGCCGACGTACGACGTGCTGGAGGAGGAAGAAGGGAGGCTGGTGGTGCCAGGTGTCACGGCGGATAAGAACATGGATGTCCATACGTTGGATACCAAAGCTCGGAACAAGGTTGTGGCCATGTTCTGGAAGCACCCTTTTGCCAGATTCACCCTTCTCTATTCCCATGGCAACGCCGCCGACCTCGGCCAAATGCATGAGCTCTTCATCGAGCTCAGGGCTCATCTCCGAGTCAACATCATGTGGTTAGAAATTCTGGCTTTTGTTTTAATGTTCCGTTTTCATTTGTGCAAATTCACCGTACTTTGAACTTTAAATCAACCATTAATGTTGATTGGGAGATGTTCAAGACTGGATTTGATGAAAGTTTCTGGCTTTTAGATGAATTCTTGTCGAAATTAGAGTTGTTTCTGGTTTTGGGTTTTGGGATGCTTGATTGTATTCCTTGTTGTTCAAAGATTGGAGCTTTATTGTGACGACCTTTGTTCTCTGTTGTTTCTCTATGCAGCTATGACTATTCAGGCTATGGAGCATCTTCTGGAAACGCGCCGGTCACCAGCGTCATGAAGCTGAAGGTGATTGACACATCAATTTGGTCGATGGCGAGCTCTGTCAGTGCCAGCTTCACGTTGCGAACTGCGGCAACTAACAAAGAAGTGTTTGTGAAACTGAAAACCCTAGAATCCTGTCTTTTCTCATTGCTTTGTCTGCCTTATATAGGCGATACAGAAGGGAAGGAGACAAGCTCCATTACAGCTTGTTTGGAAGCTTGGAAGGGAAACAAACAAAACTTGGCGGAAAAGAAAGTACAGACATAAAAGGGAAGGTAAAAACGACAGCGGATAGTCTCCGAAATAAAACAGTTGCGCAGTGGATAGGTGGAAACGATGTCGCAGCAGGTCAGTCCACCGATGAGAAGAAAAACGTCGTCGTCCTCGAATCCGACCGTTGGAGACGAGGGAAAGGATGAAAACTGGATTTTCAATCTGATACCCCCCCGCAAGCTGGTGGGCAGAGATTTCGCACACCAAGCTTGGAGAGTAAGGAAGTAAATGGTGCTGGTGACAGGGGCTTTGTGAAGAGATCGGCGAGCTGGTGATTGGAGGAGATGTGGAGAAGCTTGAGGCGGCCAGCTTGCAATTTTTCGCGGACAAAATGACAGTCAAGTTCTATATGCTTTGTTCTCTCATGGAAGGTTGGGTTCTTGGCAATGTAAATCGCGCTCTGGTTGTCGCAATAGAGGGTTGCAGGAGACGAAGAGGAAGCTTTGAAGTCTTGTAGCAGGTATTGCAACCACTGGATTTCACAAGAGGTATATGCTAGGGCCCTGTATTCAGCTTCACATGAAGATCTTGAGACTGTATGCTGTTGGTTTTCCAGGAGATCAGGGAATCACCTAAGTAGATGCAGAAACCAGTGGTGGACCTCCTTGTTTCAACACAGGCGGCCCAATCAGAATCAGTGAAGGCCTTCAATTGGAAAGTGCCTTTGGATGGGAAGAACAACCCTGTTGCTGGAGCTGTTTTGAGGTAACGAATTACCCGATGAACAGCCTTATAATGGACATCTGTGGGTGAAGACATGAACTGACTGAGCTGTTGCGTAGCATAGCTGATGTCTGGACGTGTTGTAGTCAGATAAACAAGTTTCCCAACTAATGTTCTGTATAGCTCAGGGTCCTCAAATAGTGAATCAGGATCATTGCTAAGATGAACTTTGTAATCCATAGGGGTAGTGACTGATTTGCTGTCCAGAACATTAGCTTGTTCAATGATTTCAAGAGTGTACTTCCTCTGAGATAAATGAATACCTGTTGTGCTTCTTGCTACTTCAATGCCAAGAAAGAATTTCAGATTGCCCAAGTCTTTAATGCTGAAATCTTTATCTAAAACTTCCTTGAGTGCCTTGATTTCTGAGAGATATTGCCCCCCAGGACTAGATCATCAACATAAATGAGTATACATGTGTAGCTGGTGTCTGTTGCCTTGTAAAAAAGAGAATGATCAGCTTTACTTTGAACATAACCAACTCTGATTAGGGTGTCTGTCAACTTGGAAAACCACTGTCTGGAGGCCTGCTTTAAACCATAAAGTGATTTCCTTAATCGACAGACAGGGTTGGGGATATTTGGAGGAGGATCAAAACCTTTGGGGAGAGTCATGTAGACTTCTTCTTCAAGGTCGCCATGAAGGAAGGCATTATTCACATCTAACTGGTGAATATGCCAATTCCTCATTGCTGAAATGGCAAGAAAGGTTCTGACTGTAGTCATCTTAATCACAGGAGCAAAGGTGTCCTGGAAATCCAAACCTTCCTGTTGTGTGTTGCCTTTGGCAACCAATCTGGCCTTGTGCCTTTCAAGAGAACCATCAGAAAGAAATTTGTCTTTGTAGACCCACTTGTTGCCAACTGGTTTTTTACCTTTGGGAAGAGAAGCCACATCCCAGGTGTGGTTTTTGATGAGTGCTTTGATTTCATGCTGCATAGCTTGATTCCAAACATCAATTTGAGAAGCCTCTTTGTATGACTGAGGTTCTCTAGTGGCTGAGATGTTGAACAAGAATTTTTGGAAAGCTGGGGTTAACTTGTCATAAGAGAGCATAGAGGAAAAAGAGTACCTTTTGTTTTGGAGCTGCTGCAGAGTTGAATGATTGATGCTGCTAGGACCCTGTGAAAGGAAACAATGATAGTTTTGGACTAGATGAGATGGTCTTTTGTGAATTCTTTCTGATTTTCTAACAGGATTAGGTGGTGGTGGGGAAGATGGTGATGGAGGAGGATCAGGAGATGGTGAGGAATGATCAGATGAAGAGGGACTAGAGGGTGAAGAAGGTGATGTAGGGAGTGGAGAAGGTACTGGTGGAGGTGGTGAGATATCAGGAGGGAGAAGAGAGGGGTCTTCATGGAGTAGAGGAGAGGTTGAAGAAGGAATAGGATAGAAAAGGTTAGTAGGAGAGGATGTGGGAGCATCTGGCAGGTCTGATTGGTAAGGGAAATGAGATTCATAGAATATGACATCTCTAGAGACAAATGTCTCATGAGTAGAGAGGTCATACAGTTTGTAGCCTTTGATGCCAGGGGGAAAGCCAATGAAAATTGCTTTTCTGGCACGAGGTTGGAACTTAGTTCTGTGGTTTGCAAGAGTACTGGCATAGCAAAGGCAGCCAAATACTCTTAGCTCAGAGAGGTCAGGTGGTTTTTGATTGAGTATGTAAAAAGGTGTTTGATTAGAAATGATGGGAGAGGGGACTCTGTTGATGAGGAAGACTGCATGTTTCACACAATCACCCCAGAAGGAAGGAGGTAGGTTGGCTTGAAACTGAAGGGCTCTAGCAACTGCTAGGATATGCTGGTGTTTTCTCTCAACCTTACTGTTTTGCTATGGAGTTTCCACACAGGACATCTCATGAGTGATGCCTGTGGAATTGAAAAAATCTTGCATATTGAATTCTTGCCCTTGATCACTCCTGATTGTTTTAATTGTGGTGTTATATTGTCTCTCCATTTGAGTGCAGAATGAAATGAGTTTTGGTCTGACTTCTGACTTTAAATGAAGCAGAATAATCCAAGTCATCCTAGAACAATCATCTACCACAGTGAGGAAATACTTGAAGCCATCATAAGATGGAACAGGGTTTGGACCCCAAATGTCAACATGAAGAAGTTGGAAAGGAGAATCAGTTACAGATTGACTGGAAGGAAAAGGCAGTCTTTTCTGCTTAGCAAAATGACAGACATCACAAGGTAAGTGCTTCTGAGTTTCAATGGAGGTACAAAATTGTTTGATGAGAGGAATTTTAGAGTGGGAGACATGTCCTAGTCTAAAATGCCAAAGATCAAAAGGGGAAGTTGAAGCAGCTGATGCAAATTTTGGAATTAGGGAATCTTCTAGGTAGTAGAGGCCATTGTAGAGTCTAGCAGAACCAATCATTCTCGTCTGCTTCAGATCCTGTATAAGACAAAGGGTGGAATGAAAGGTTAAACAGAGGGAATTTGTGGAGGTTAACCTACTGACAGAGATGAGATTGAATGTGAAGTGAGGAACAAACAGGGAATTGTGTAAGACAAGCTCATCATGGCAAGTAACTGTGCCAGAATGAGTTGCTTGAACCTTCTGGCCAGTAGGTAGGGTAATGAAAACATTGGTCAAAGAAGTAGGGTCTGTAAGGTAATGTAGTGAACAAACTATGTGGTCTGAAGCACCTGTATCAACAATCCAACGGGGTTGGGACAAAGAAGAGTCATCCTTGACAGCTTTGAGTGAAGACAATGCAGAATTTGTACCTGATGGTTGTATGTAGGCAGCACCAGAAAAAGAGGAAGAAGTCTTCTGAGACTGGACTAAGGCCATAAGCTTGTCATACTCAGATCTGGATAACTTAACATCATCAGGAGATGGAGTAGTTTGGACAGCATTAGCTAGAGGTCTTGGTCTTGGGAATGCAGAACTTTGACTTCTTGGAACAAAGTTTGCAGGATAACCATTCTTTTGAAAACACTTATCCTCTGTATGACCCCTTCTTTTACAGTAAGTGCAGATAGTTGGAGGAGCAGAAGGGGAGGGAGAAGGCCTTGACATTCCTGGAGGCCAGCCATGCTTCTGAAAGCAAATGTCCTCTGTGTGGCCTTCCCTCTTACAGAAAGTGCAGTAAGGAGGTTTAGAGAAACCTCGACGATTTGCCCCTTGTATGGCAAGTGCAGAGACATCAGATTGCAAGGAAGCAACTGACTTAGCAGAATGAGTGCCATAGATCTGTCTTTCATGCTGAAGCATGCGTTGAAAGACCCTGTTGATATTAGGTAGTTCATCTCCAAACAAGACCTGAGCTCTTACTCCAGAGAAGTTTTCATTCAAACCTCTCAAAAATTTTGATTACATAGCTTGTTTCATGATATTCAAACACTTTTGTCATGGCAGCACAGTCAAGATGACTAGTTGGAGTACAGGAACAAGGCAACCGAGGTTGATAATTTTCCAGCTCATCTTTGAGAGTAATAAGGCGACCATAGTAGTCAGTGATGGTTTGATTACCTTGCTGAAGTGAGGCCAAATCTTCTTCAAGTTCAGCAATCCGAATGAGATCTCCAGATCCATAACGAGTTTGGAGACTTTTCCATGCCTCCAAGGCTGTCTTGCTTGAAAGAATTGTTTTCCTGATTTCTGCAGAAGAGGACTGTTGTATCCAGCTCAAAATCATAACATTGTTCCTAACCCATGCCCCATGTCTGGCATCTGTGACAACAGGCTCAAGAATGGTTCCATTGATGAACCCCAGTTTGTTTTTTGCAGCAAGGGCATTGAACATAGCCCTGCTCCAATCGTTGTAGTTGGTGGCGGTGAGTTTTTTCAGCCACAAGCAGAGATCCAGGCTGCTCTGAGCCATGGAGGAAGAAAGGATCAGACAATGGATCAATAGGCTGTGCAGGATGAGGCTGAGGCTCAGGATCGATCTGAGCTTGGTTATCAGCCATTGTAGAAGAGAAGCGGCGGCTAGGGTTTTATCCCAGGCTCTGATACCATAACAAAGAAGTGTTTGTGAAACTGAAAACCCTAGAATCCTGTCTTTTCTCATTGCTTTGTCTGCCTTATATAGGCGATACAGAAGGGAAGGAGACAAGCTCCATTACAGCTTGTTTGGAAGCTTGGAAGGGAAACAAACAAAACTTGGCGGAAAAGAAAGTACAGACATAAAAGGGAAGGTAAAAACGACAGCGGATAGTCTCCGAAATAAAACAGCTGCGCAGTGGATAGGTGGAAACGATGTCGCAGCAGGTCAGTCCACCGATGAGAAGAAAAACGTCGTCGTCCTCGAATCCGACCGTTGGAGACGAGGGAAAGGATGAAAACTGGATTTTCAATCTGATCCACGAACTGCGCGTCGGCGTCGTCGCCAACATAGACGACGAAAGCTCGCGTACGGGGATAGAACGGCACTACGTTGTGCCGGAGCCACTCTGGTGCGGAAGACGGAGATTTCGCCATTTCTTGAACCAGATGGTTCGGAACGGAGAGCAGCACGCTGGCCTCGGTGAAAGACAAGGCCCGCGTCAGGCTCGGTGTTGGATCCAGAATCCGCACCGAGCGGAATCCGAGAGCCACCACCGCTGAGGAGATGGTCTCCGAGAGGCGGGAGGTGCTGCGAGGACGGAGATGAACTACGACTGGAATTCGCTGGGCGGCGGCGGTGGTAGTGCGGCGGCGGAGTAGGTAACTCCAACAACATCAGGGTTTGGTCGGTAGGGTATGGAGATTAGAAGAAATTAGTTTTAATATTTTTTATTTTTTTTTAATAATTTTGATAATGAGGTGGAAATTTAAAAAATTAAATTTTTTATTTTTTAATTGCCACGTCACACACTTAACGGTCAACTCTAATAGTTGACTGCAACATCAGACAAAATTAACAGAATTGGACGAAGAGTGACCAAATTTGAAATGTTTAAGTAATTTTAATGACCATGAACGGAATTAAATATTTTTAGTGATCAAATTTGAACCTTTTTAGTAAATCAGGTGATCAATTATGCAATTAACCCTTTTTTGGTTGAGATTCCAAATAATTGATTTATAATTTTTCTTTTGCTTTATTCGGATTTGCAATCACAGATTTAACTGAATTATCTTCACAATTGGTAAAATTATAAAACATAAATTTTTATAATTTATTTTAATGGAAATTTTCTCACTTTTTTTTTATATACTCATTAATAAGAATCACAAAATTTCCACACAAAGTGGAAACTATCTCTTTCCACTGAACCATTCCCCGGTCTTGCCGGCCCCGCCGATTGTGAGCGGAAAAAACAGTTACCCACTATCCAGTGGGAACCCGCCACGTCGCGCCATACAGTGTGCGGGGGAGGCGGCGGCGGCCGCGCTATCGGGACAGTGTCTGGACTCTGGCGGAGGAAAACGAAAAGGGCAGTTGTCCTTTCATTTATTTGACTGTTTCCAGTAAGTAAAATAAATTACACTAATGCTGATTGAAATAACAATAATCAAATCGGAGTATAAATAACCGTTCTTCCCATTTCTTTGAAATTTCTCTCCTTTTCTTTCTACACACGGCTGAGGTCCCTTCTCTGCACCTTTTCATCTCTCTCGCTCCTTCCCCTGCTTTTGTGCCAGTTTGTTCATATTTCGGTTCCTTCGCCCTGATTTCCTCAGATCTTGGAAGCCAGCCCATCATTGAAACAGTTGTTCTTCTGGGTCTGAACCTTTTCTCTCTTTTGATTCTCTCGGCTTTTCTGGGTTTGTTTGTTGGAGGAATTCAGAGGAGAAACAATGGATGATGAGTACGCTAAGCTTATCAGGAGGATGAATCCTCCAAGGTAGTAGCTTTTCCTATTTAATTGATTGGTTGTGGCTTCAGATTTGTGGGTTTTTGTTGTTTGTTTTTGGGTTTTGGAGTGTATGGTTTGATCTTAGGGTTAATAAGTGAGAAGAGATGGAATTTCAGAAGGAAGGAATTGGACCCTTTGATTCCAAAAAAGCCTATTGGGTTCTCTGTTTTGTGTTTGAATTATGGTCTTAGAGTCAGAGTTTTAGTTATCTGATTGGTCATCAAGGTTACAACTTTTGTGAGACTGGTTTATTTTCAACTTTGTTTCAAGGTCGTCACTGTTTTCCTCAGCCTAAAGAGTCAAATATGGTGAGGAAAAATCGTACTCGTACTCGGACTTTGTCTTGTTGGAATGTTTGCCTTTGCTTCTGTGATGAGTCAAGTTTACTTGCTGGTCTTAAACTGTTATTTGGTTTCTGGTTTTGCAGAGTTGTGATTGACAATGATACTAGTGAAGATGCAACTATCATCCAGGTAGAAAGCCGATAGTTCTCTGTTTTATTCCTATTTTCTCCAATTAAAGAGTGCAAATTAGAGTGAATGATGATTTCTGTTTTTACCAGGTTGACAGTGTAAACAAGCATGGGATACTTCTGGAAGTTGTGCAAGTTCTCACAGACATGAACCTTGTGATAACCAAAGCATACATCTCATCTGATGGAGGATGGTTTATGGATGGTAAACACTTGAATATCTCTTTCATTTCCTATGTGAAGCTTAGCTGGTTTTCCTGGAATCCTAAGCTTGGTTTCTCTCTTTGGCAGTGTTCAATGTCACTGATCAAGATGGGAACAAGATAATCGACGAGGAAGCTATCGACTACATCCAACAAGTAAACAGACCTTACTCTGCACAATAAAAACTTATGGTTGTTTGACTTGAGAGGCTAACTTGTTCATGTCTTATGACTTGCAGAGACTTGAAAACGATGCAATCTTTTATCCCTCGTTGACCGGTTCAGTTGGAGTGATGCCATCGGATGAGCACACCTCGATTGAGCTCACTGGAACAGACCGACCAGGCTTGCTCTCTGAAGTATGTGCAGTTCTAGCAGATTTGGGCTGCAACGTTGTGAATGCAGAGATATGGACTCATAACGCTAGGGCAGCTGCAGTAGTTCATGTCACTGATGACTCAACCGGGGCTGCAATCAAAGATCCCAAACGACTCTCCACTATTAAAGATTTATTATGCAATGTGCTGAAAGGGTTCAACGATTTGAATAATGCAAAGACTAGTGTTTCTCCACCAGGTCGATTGAGCAAAGAGAGGAGATTGCATCAGATTATGTTTGCCGATAGGGACTACGAGAGGGTTGATAGGGCAAGTCATCTAGAGGATGATAGCAACTCGAGGCCTCATGTTACTGTTCTGAATATTGAGAAGGATTACTCGGTGATCACGATGAGATCAAAGGATCGGCCTAAGCTTCTGTTCGACATTGTCTGCACTCTTACTGACATGGAATATGTGGTATATCATGGAATGGTCTGCGCTCGTGGGAAGGAAGCTTATCAGGTAAACATAGTATACTCAAAATTATTTGATTTTAAACCTGCTTTTCGGCTTCTGTGTAGAATCTATTACCTGACTACCTTGCCTTTTGCAGGAGTTCTACATCCGCCACATCGATGGGTTCCCCATAAGTTCAGAAGCTGAGCGCGAGCGAGTCATACAATGCCTTGAAGCAGCCATCGAGAGGCGAGCACACGAGGGGCTAGAGCTCGAGCTATGCACAGAGGACCGAGCTGGTCTCCTGTCAGACATCACGAGGATATTCAGGGAGAACAGCTTGTGCATCAAGAGGGCAGAGATCTCGACTAAAGGAGGGAAAGCCAAAGACAGATTCTACGTCACTGATGTAACTGGGAATCCGGTTGAGCCAAGGATTGTTGACTCAATTTGCAGGCAGATTGGACAGACAAAGCTTCATGTGAAGCATAGCTCTTTTCTCCCACCATCAAGCGGTAGTAGAGATCCTCCACAGGAAACTACAATGGGGTATTTTTTCGGAAACCTGTTCAAGGCACGGACTTTCCAGAACTTCAAGGGCATCATCTCATACTCATGAGGAATGATGGTTGCGTTCACTGTATAGAAATGGTGTTTCCTCTCTGCAAATAGTTTGGCTGGTGAAATGGGAATTTGTACAGAAGGTTGTAGATTTTTGTATATAGTTAGATAGTTACAGTTGGGGGATGTAGTTGAGCAGTAAAAATGGAGATAGATCACTTGTGAATATGATGATCACAGCATAAAGGTTAGCAAGGATAGCCACAATGGATTTGTACATATATGCTTTAGTTTGTAAAGATTTATGCTTCCTTCAGATGAAACTACAAAGAAAGAGTGGAGATTATGAATGTGAATATTACTCAGTGAAGTCTTCTGTTTGGCCTTGTGATTGTAGTTGCTATACCCTACAATTTTCGCTCTTGCCGTTATGTTGATGTCTTTGCGTTGTTGAGCTTCCAAAACGGCGCCGGAGGCCCGAATTCGTTTCAATTTGTTGGGGATTCGGAAACCTATTTGGCGGGTACTTCCCAGTTTCCACTTTCCACCAGTTACCAGGCGACAGTCTCTTTCTTCCCGACCTTCAGCACCTCTTAGCGGTCGTAAAATGAGACCGGTGACCGAGTTAGCTAGCTGGATCAGCCGATCTCTGATCTCGGCCTCGACGACGGCGGTGAACTCACATGCTCGGCCATGGACTCCATTACTGGAGCAAACGCTTCACGGGCTCGGCTGCCGCGACTCACTTACTCCATCACTAGTGGCTCGCGTAATCGACCCGCATCTGCTGAGTCATCACTCGCTGGCGCTGGGGTTCTTCAATTGGGCAGCTCAGCAGCCCGGGTTTGCTCATGATTCGGCTTCCTACCGATCGATATTCAAGTCCCTGTCCACTTCTCGCCAGTCCATTGCCTCCGTCGTCGAATCCTTGTTGAGGCAGGTTAAAGCTCAGAGCTTGGCGCTCGATTCGCTGACTTGTGGCTTCGTCATCAAGACTTTATTGCAGGGCAAGATGATCCGGAAGGCAGTTTTGGTTTTTGACGAGATGATGAAATCGGGGGGTTCGTCTATCGAGCCAGATGTATGTAACTCGCTCTTGGCTGCTTTGTGTTCCGAAGGTTCTTTGGAGAATGCACTGAAAGTGTTTGAGAAAATGGCTGAGAGGAAAGTTGGGTTTAGTAGTGTTGGGTTCGGAGTGTTTATATGGCGGCTTTGCAGAGATTATGAGTTGGGGAAAGTGTTGAGCTTGTTGGATAGGGTGCAAAGTGATGGTCAATCTTCAATTGATGGATCAATTATAGCTCTCCTCGTTGTTGATGGGCTCTGCCAGGTTTCCAGAGTTGAAGAAGCTTTGTGGGCATTGACTGAGTTGAGAATTAGGCACTGTAAACCTGATTTCATGGCATATAGAATAGTCGCTGAGGCATTTAGAACAACAGGAAGTGTGGTCGATGTAAACATAGTTCTGAAGATGAAGAGGAAGCTAGGAGTAGCACCGAGGAGTGATGACTATCGAGAGTTCATTTTTGGGTTAATAGCTGAGAGACGGATAATGGAAGCCAAAGAACTAGGTGAAGTGATTGTGCATGGCAATTTCTCTATTAAAGATGATGTCTTGAACGCACTGATTGGATCGGTGTCATCAATCGATCCTTGTTCTTCGATTATGTTCTTCGATTTCATGGTGGGAAAAGGTGTGCTCCCTACTCTGTTAACATTGAGTAACTTGAGCAGGAATCTCTGCAGGCATGGAAAGAATGAGGAGTTATTGAATGTATACAATCAACTATCTGAAAATGATTATTTTTCTGATATGGAGAGTTGCAAAGTTATGTTTTCATTCCTATGCAAGGCTGGGAGAGCGAGAGAAGCTTATGGATCTCTCCAGGAGATGAAGAAGAAAGGGTTGGAGCCTGATATCTCAATGTATAATCTCCTGATGGAGACATGTTGCAGGCTTGATCTCGTGCGTCCTGCTAAGAAGCTTTGGGATGAGATGTTTGTGACTGGATGTGGAGTGAATCTGAGAAGTTACAATATCTTGATTGGGAAGTTATCAGATACTGGTGAAGTTAAAGAGGCTGTGAGTCTATTCGATCGCATGTTGGATAGAGGAGTGGCGCCAGATGCTGCAACCTACGATTTTGTGCTTGATGGGCTCTGTCGAGAAGCCGAATTCGATGATGCTGTTGTAGTGTTTAACAAGTGTGTGGAGAATCAGGATGCGGTGCTTGCACGAAATGTGCTGAGGAATTTCATTCTCAAGCTCTGTGGAAAAGGTATGGTTTCTTGCGAATAGTCTATATGGTGATGCTCTCATTCTTAAGCATTTAACAACGGTAGCTATCTGAGTTCTGTGGAGAAGGTATGGTTTTCTTATATATGTTACGAAAGGATTATTCTCTTTTCCCATGCAGGTGAATTCCTTCTAAGCTCTAAGCTGCTCCGTGGCCTCACATACGATGTAGCACATCCCGACTCTCATGTAATCTTGCTGAAATGTTTAGCTGAGGCTAAAGAGTCTAGAATTGCTGGTGAACATGTGAAATGGATTCGGGAAACGTCACCCTCAATGTCCCGTACAGTTACCTCTCAGATTTCAGCCTCTCCCTTGTCTTCCACGGAGCCAGACTTGCTTCAGCAATTCGCCTGGGCAATGCCAGCAGACCAATGCGGCGTAGATGTCATGGATAGAGGCAACATTTGCTCGATGTAACTCAAACGCTGCCACCATTGTCAGAGTTGGAATGTGAAAGGTTGAGAGTAGTCATGGATGAATGAAGGGCAAGCGCTGGAATTGAAAGGGGTCTCAAGTAAAAGGAAAGCCAGTCAATGGCAGAGACTAGTGGCTCAATATGCTGCTAAACTTGTGAGTATTTTGCCCATGCTTCACAAAGAATGAAAAGCTTCAAGACATAATGATGCTGGGTGTGTACAGTGTACTTATATACTGTACAGAAACGGCCATAAAGGCCAGTTCGTCAATTGTATGATCATTAACAAATGGTTCGTTCCTCTAAATGTACATTGAATCCCTGGTAATTACAAGTCAACTGGCTACTATCTGGAGTCAACCAAGTCAGAAAATATTCCAATCACCTTCAGTAAAGGAAGGAATTTACTTCTCTACTTTCAGTCTACAAGAGGATTTTCCTATGAGGCTAAAACAAGAGTAACGAGAGCAGGCGCCAGCTGAATGGACCCAAGTACAAAGATGATGGATGGCTCTAAAAAGCACCATGTTCCCTTTTCTCTGTACAACATTCATACAATGTTACCTATATCTACATAGATATATGTGCATAGAATTTTTACAGGCTCTATTTAGCCATCAATCGTCCAGGTGCTGGATTTCACCCATCATGATGCGATTGCTGGTGACTTTAAACCCGAGGAGAGCAGGATCAATCTGCCTTCCCTTCTTCCCTTTCTTCTTCCCAATCCGTCCACCTTGCGAATTGTCATACGACTCTAACCCACTTAATTGAGCCGCATCCAGTTCATGCGCAACTGGTTTCTTCAGCACGTCAATGAATGATGCCTCTGATGACACTGCAGCATCGGCGTAAGAGGAGGTCCTCCTAACTTCCACTGGTCGCGCTGTTGTTGCCACAAGAACCCTCCCCGCTGTAGGGTTGTTATGTCTCCTTTCTGGGAAGAAAGCCAATTCCCACAAGGTCAAACATTGGGTCAACTATCCAAAAATAGAAAATCAACACAGATCAAGGGACAACATTTACATACCAAGGGGTGTTGTTGGTAAGTTGATCGAGCTTTTCTGCTTCATGCTTGAACCAGGAGAAGCCAAGTCTGATGAAGCTACTGGTTTAGGGGAAGGATTGTCGGATACCTTGGGGAGAAGTGTCGGCGCCCTGTTGATGAAAACAAGAGACATCAAGAACATCGAACATAGAAGGTTATATATGCAAGCGTTAGAAGAACACCCAAGTCTGCAGAATATCAAGTTGATCTAATAACCGACTTTTCCATCAGATACAATCTTCCGACTTCCAACTTCTACCTCTAAAAATATAAGTTTAAGTTGATGGGCATCCAATTTTACTTCACCTTTTGAACATTTTCAATTCCACCCTTTCTCTTCTATAGAACTCCATAAGCTTGTGGACTCATTCAATGCAGCTCACATTACAGTAACTTCAACTCTAAGAAGAACAAGTTGTAGACTCACTGAATCGTTTCACAATCATTCACGTATTTCGATAATTTTCTGAGACATTTTTACTTCTATCATTTGCTACTGTTCGGAACTTCTCATAGATCATGTACACATTGAATTAAATGAAACCTTGAAATTTGAGTGAAACCTCATACCTGGGGTTAGTAATCTCTTCTCTAACTGTTCTATCTAATCCTGTTTCATAGCCGCTCAAGCTTCCATTGCCACCTGCATAGTATGTAACTCCTCCTCTTAGAGTCCATCTGATCATAGAATATAAAACAGAAGAACAAAACAGAAAATAAAATAAGGAGGTTTACCGGTGCTACTCAGCGAGCTATGTCTACTATTGACATTACTTGGCAGCTCGGCCAAATCTCTGGCAGGCTCACCGTGATCAACTGAAATTTGTGCATTAGAGCTTCTAGACCCTAGTATCTTCTCCTTCCCTACCCGCTCTCTTAACTCTTTATGGTCACCAGATGAGTTGCTGCTCAACCTAGCATCGATACCATGTGAAGGATCTCCACTGCTCGACAAGAATCTCTGTTCCTCTACTTGTAATCCAGCTTTAGGCCCCAGAGAGAATCTTTCATTTCCCAACTGGTTGGATTGGCCACTCATTGATGCATTTACTATATCCTCCAGGGTAGGTGCACCTAAACTTGAAGTAGATGACTTGGTGTTCTGCCAATGGTTATCACTAGGAGTTGAATCTTTTGTGTAATCATTCTCTGGCGCCTGAATAGACCTAAGACCGGCTGATGTTTCGTGGAGCTCCATCAATGCTTGCTTTGAGTTCTCATCATTGCCTCCCCAAAAGGTGGGGTTTGAAAAAGTTTCTTCATCTTTCAGACGTTGTTGTTCCTCTTTAACACGCATATGTTGTTGCAGGTCTCCTTCAGTCCAACCATTTTCTAGCGGCGTATTTTGCCCTTGGTAGTTATCCATCATTCCTGCTCGCGAAGCATATTGAAGTCATGTGAAAGTTAGCCAGCAAGTTAGATCAGAAACAAGAAGAAACTAAAACCAACTTTTTGGTCAGAATACTGCATGCTTATTAGAAACATTGTTCTGGAATATATATGCATATTTGTACCTTGGATATGACCATTTAACTTCATCTCAGGAGGCACTGGCCTCTCAATGACCCCAGAAGTAGGCTCATAAAACCCACTTTGAAGATGATGTTCCTGAAAACCACGATGCCATTTAAGGTTCCTTTGATGCTCCTCGTTTGAGGAAAATCGCTGCTGAAATAAATCTGACTGATGTTGACCAGCATCATCACCTGACCATGTGCTACTATTGCCTTGCCTTTCCCCATCCATACCTAATTGCTGCCTAAGTGCCAAAGACAATTGCTGTGCCTGCAATTGCTCCTTCTGAAAATGAAGCTGCTCATCTGAAGAGGGAATATTACCACCATGTTTTGTCAGAAGGTCCAAGAAATCATTTGGTGGTTCATGAAGAGCATTATGACCAAGTTTGGCCTGAATAATTTGCTCCAGCAACGGATTATTAGTTTGTCTTGAAAGGTGAGCATGCTGAGCTTCTGGCAATTGCATCCTGAACTGAACCTCATCGAACATATTGTTGTCTCTCAGTTGATCTGCAGTCATGTGTCCATAACCAGCATTTGACATCTGATGCTGTAGCAATCTTTCAAGCACCATTTGTTGCTGCCTCTGTTGCTGCTGTTGCTGCCTTTGCTGCTGCAACTTCATCTGATGGTTCCTTAGCTGCTGTTGCTGCTGGAGTAACCAATGCCCTTGTTGAAGCTCCAGCTGCTCCACTTGGCGCTGCTGTTGTAACTCAACCTGGCGCTGTTGCTCTTGAAGCTCCAGCAGCTGTTGCTCCTGCTGAAGCTCCAGAAGCCGCTGCTGCTGCTGTCTTTGAAGCTCTATCCACCGCTGCTGCTGCTGAATCTCCAGCTGTCGCTGCTGTTCAAGCTCGAGCCTTCTCTGCCGTTCGAGCTCGAGCCTTCGCTGATGTTCAAGCTCGAGCCTCCGTTGCTGTTCAAGCTCGAGCCTCCGTTGCTGTTCAAATTCCAACTGCCGCTGCTGTTCAAGTTCTAACAGGCGCTGTTGTTCAAGCTCCAATAATCGGTGTTGCTCAAGCTCCATCCGCCGCTGCTGTTCGAGCTCCATTTGCCGCTGCATTTCAATCAGATGCCCTGGAATTTGATCGATCCCAAATCCCGTGTTATGGGAGAAAGGATGCGGTGAAAATTGATTTTGGCGTTCGATGTCGAATTCTTTGAGCCCATGTTCCCTACCAAGACCAGAACCTTTTCCCCATTGTTTCTCAAAAGGAAGTCGATTAGCAGCACCAAAAGGACCTGGATTCATGAAATCATTGTTGTTTCTCTCCATCATAGGATCGAGATATCGATCGTCACCACCTAAGCTTGAGGCGATGTGGGATGATTGAGAACCTCTTATCTCAGAGTTACCACTGAGCTCAGACATCAACAAGCCAAATGGATGACACACTTTCTCATCGTGATGGTTAGGCACACTGTTTTTAGAAGGATCCACATTCAAACTTTGGACATCACTAGCATGTCTAGTGTAACTGCCACTGCTGCTACTACCAGGCCTCACAGGGTAGAGAATTTCTGTATATGAGAGAAGAAACTAAGTTAAACATGCTAAACAGGGGAGGTGACTCAAAATACAACCTCGATAAAAATTTACCTTCACCCTGAACATCAAGGTTGTGAAATCGTTCCTCTAGAGAGTGCTGGATCCCTGGATTAAAGTTGGCATCAGATACTTTAGATTGGGAATTGATACTTGGTATTGCATTGAGTCCAGAGGAAGACCACTGCTGCTCTTTTCTATGACCCAAATCATTGAATTCGGGATGATGACCCTCCAAGTTGCCTGCAACAGCATCAGACTGCCGTGACATATCATTCAGACTAGCACTTGAGGCAGACCCAAGTTTTCCTGTTAGATGCGGCATTACTTCACCAAGTTGATGGAATGGTGACCCATCAGGAGCATCTGACAAACGAACAGGTAGATCGGTCCCAAAGTAGCCTTGTTCAAACCATGTAATGATATCAATTCCCAGATATGGTCCTTGTATTGCCCCTTGAGGGTCCAGATAAAACAAAGATAACTCTTCCGGAGGAATATCATCTCCCACTGGAGTTGTCTTGTAGTTTCTGTTTGTAAATGACTGATTACTGCCCCCACTCTGCTGCGTGGGAGGAAAATCGAAGAAAGTATTGGAATCATCAGGAAGATGGCTGCCAATTTCAAAAGTAGTTACTGAGTCTTCAAACATAGAATGCTTTTTGAAAGCTGAATCTTGTTCGTGCAGGTAGTCAGAGGATCCCAACTCCAGAATACTTGTCTTGGTGCCACTTTCCCCTGCACTATTGGATTTGTCCTTAAATACAGGGTCCAACCCATAATCTGAAATCCCAATTACGGATCTTCCAAGTTTTTCTTCACCTTCTAGAGAAATGCCCCTCTCTGAATATATAATATATATGTTAATAATGTCTGCAACTCTAAGACTGGCGATATACAAGATTAAGAGCAAAAGATCCATTACCAGCAACCAGTGATGGATGTGACACCTCATTACAACTATCCTGATACAAACTATCAGGAGCAGCCTTTCCAAAGGTGCCTTGATAACCCTCCCTTGCGATCTCAGAACCTAAACAAACAGCAGATACCTTAACCAATATGACTTTAATGTACCACCAAAATACTGGGGATAAATTCAACTAAATTACCGGCAGAATAATCATTTGATAGACAATCATTGTCTTTA